TGCAGAGACACGCTCAGATCTGTGGATCTTCTCTCGAAATGCTGCTGCTCTCTGCTGTCAGACACATAAGGCAAGGGACTGATCCTGCCAGATGGCTCATGGACTACTTGAGTGCCTAAAACCCCAGTGGTCTTGTGGGTAACAGTTCTCTCAACCATAATGAAGAGTATGCTCACTTCCAGAGTGCTGGGAAATGAATTTCCTTGTAACAATGCTGCTGCAGGACCTGAGCCCTTGAGGAGGTGACACTGGTGCTTCCCACCATGAGCTCCATGGAGAAGACAGTCTCTCACACATTGCATAGGAAACAACAAAGCTCAGAGACACAAAGTTCTTTAACGTCCCAGCTGCTGCACTGATCTCCTTCCTGCCATGAGATCAGATGATATAAATGTGATATGGCTCCTTCTGATGCAGGAGCTCTATGATATAGGTTGATTTATGTGCAATCTTTCAGCAAGTCCCAGCTTTTTAATCTCCAATCCGGGTGAGAAGCTGAGCCCAGGTCCTGTACTTTCAGGGATTTTGCTTCACAGGGAGGTTGTCCTGAAGCTGGTGACCCCTTTTCCTCCAGGTAAAGCCTCACAATCTAAGGTGCTGAGGTTCAGAGCAATCCCACCTGGGACATACAGCATATCTGTGGGTGGGAGCAAAGACCCAAAGTGTCCCACAGTGCCCAGAAGTGGCTCTGTCATTGTCAGCAACACTGCTGAGGGGTGACAGACTGGCTGGTGGAGAAGCACCAGGGACAAAAACGACAGGAAAAGGTGTGTTAGAACAGGAGGTGTTGATGGTACTGTTGTCAGTGGTCATCCAGATCACAGTGCCCACCTTCCTGCAGCCTCTCAGCCACCAGGATGGGGCCAGATCCAGGACAACAAGTTGATGTTCCACAGAGAGTGACAGGACAGCGAGACAGGTCCCTGCCAGCTCCTGGCCAGCACAGAAGGGAACATGCAAACCCAGCACGATTTTCTCACCTAAAAAAAGCCCAGCAGGCATGAGGAGGACTTGACAGCTGTCATCCTCTGCATTATTCCAGGGAATCCTGGAAAGATTGGCTGAACACATCATGTCCTGGTGCTTGCATGCTGGGTGGGCTGCTCACACATACCCGCCCTCGTGTGTGTGGGAGTGCCACTGAAACCACTCTGAGTTTGCTTTTGCTTTAAAGTCCAAGACTCTCCTTCCCTGGGAGGTGTCACATTGGAATGTCCTTGGCACAGAGGCACATCCCAGCTGAGCTCCTCCCCAGCCCCTTCTCTGCACAGGCAGCAGTGGGCTTGCTGAACAAACAAACGTGCATAAAGAGGATGGAGACCAAAAGATGAGAGGAGTCTGCAGATTGATGAGAGCACAGCTCCTCCCTTACAGGCCATCCAGTGGAACTCTCGAGTGAACCAAGTCCTGACTCTTCTGAAGGAGAGATTTTTCATAGAAGCTGAGTTAGGCCAGACAGATCCCTGGGGCAGAGAACACAAGCTGGAGGGGAGTAAACAGACAGAAAAGATGACAGCAGAGAAGATTGGAAAAGAGAAAGATACCCGGGAGATCTTCTTCCCTGTCACCTGGAATGACTGAGGTCCCCTCAAGAGAAGGAGCTCTCTACTTTGCAGGAAGGAGGCTGTAAGAGGTTGCGAGGGAAGTGATGCCAAGTGACTGCCTCATGAATCTCATGTTGAGAGAGGAGCAGTGGGAGATCACTTCACCATCAGCACAGAACAGAAAGACTCTGTCTCCTGAATTAATAACCTGAAGCAACTGTTCTACTTCAGGCAGGCACAGGAAAATGCAAAATTCATACACAGGTTGCATTTTCTGGGTATTATTATTTCAGATGAAATTCAAAATCAGAGAAGCAGGACAGGACATAGAACTATGCAAACACTGCATGTGGGACTTGCCTTTCCCCACATTAGATGCACTAAACAAAAGGCACAGAGCAGGTATTCAGTCACACCACGGAATAAGACAAGAGAGTTCCTTGGTAGATATGAACAGGGCCCCAAAAAAAGTAGTAATTGACTATGCCTCCCACAGCAAACTCACCCAGCCTTCGTGTCTCATCAGAAAAAGGATTTACAGGAGAGCAAAACTCACATCTCATTGAGCTTTTCATCATTTCCTTGCAAGGTGATGCTGCTGGCAAAGCAACTCTTATCCCAGCCCTTTGGAAGGGAAGCCAAAGCACTCCCTGTGACACAAGCCACACAGTCAGGTGTTCCTCCCTCCTGCTCCTTTCTCCTTCCTTAGGAGAATAAAGGACACCAGCTGCCCCCAGGCCCTCCAGGCTCAGCTCCCAGAGCCTTCCTGTTCCTCTGAGTGTGTCCCCTTGCAATGGACACACGAACCCAGATGCCCCCACAGGGACATGTGCACCTCCCCAGCTCCCTGCTCTTTCCAAAATCACTGCACACAGCTGCAGGCACTGGGTCATAGGTGGGCAAAGGGTAGGGTGTGCATATATAGAGCTGAGTACATCACCTGAACCCCCAGAGCCATCACCAAATCCCCAGAACCATCACCAAACCCCTTGAGCCCTCCTGCAGGGCTGCACTCCCAGCTCCTTGTTCCCTGTCTGTAGGTACCTCCAGGATTATCCTGGCCCAGGAGCAGAACCCAGCATTTGTCCTTGTTGGATTTCATCTGTTTGATGACACTCAAATCTACTGAGATCTCTCTCTAAGGAGCCTCCATTCTCAAGGGACTCAGGGTCTCCTCCTGATTTAGGATCACCAGGAGCAAATTTCCTTAAGAGGGTCCAGGTCATTGATAAAAACATCCAAGAGAATTGGCCCTAAACATGAGCACCACCAGCCTGATGTCACCCATGGGCTGCAGCTCTCCAGGCCCAGATGCTCCCCAGGGAAGCAGAGTTGGGGCCACACCACAGTGGTGAGCTGCAGACACTGTTACAGCACTGCCCTGTGTGCACAGAGCATCCGTGGGGGTCCACAAGGCTTGACTGGAGGCAATAAACACCTGGACAGGTGTGTTGTACATTAATATTTCAAGTGTGGGCTGAATGGATTACAGCTCATTAGTTAGGGCTCTCTGCTGCCTCAGTTTGCGGGTCAGGTTTGCATCATCTGATTCTTCCAAACTCAAATCATTCCATCATTCTCTCATCACAGACACTGCTGGTCTGAGAAAATGAGGCAAAATCCCTTCTAAACCCTGCTGTTTCTGCTCTCTCTCACTTGCCTTCCTTTTTGGAAGAGTGTGCCAGTTGCCTGATACCAAGTTGACTTAGAGGAGTGAGATAAGCAGCTGTTTGCTGTTGATAGATGCAATATTGCACACACAGCTACTGTGAGCAATTAAAAGCTTTATTTATTGCCATCTCTGTAGTGTGGTTTAAGGACTCAAAAGGTCAACTACAGTGGCAACAACGAATAGCACATATTAATTAGATGTAATTATAAAGATGAATTCCCGGACAAAATATGAGCTGGGATCAGCCTGGTCACCAAGAGGCCACTCAAATATTTGATAAAAGTGAGACTGCATATCTGGTTTGATAAGCTGGACTGTAGGCTTTATCACACATGTGCTCTCACAGTGAGGAGAGAAGGTATTAATATAAGTGAAGCCTGTAGCAGTCTCTATGGTTACAGCTAACATTTTCTAATATAAGCCATTGTCTTCAGATGCTTAACTTTCCATGTTTCAATTGCTTAGCCTGAAATTTTCCATCACTGCTCATTGTTTCCAGGTGAATTCTCTAGCAATCAGGTTAGCAAATGTACTGGAGAATTTGAGCAGATTCTCATGCTGAAACAACGATTGGAAACTGGGCAGGGACTCAATCTTATCTGTTCCCATCCTCTCCAATTTACCCCATGGCTTGGTGACTTTCAAAGACTCAGCAGATCCTGCTGGAGGTTTTGTGCTGCTGGAATCCCCAAAGGTGACATCTCCTGGTGGTGCATCAGTCCCTGCTGGACACTGCCCCATGCTCTGCCCTGGGCACTGCCCCAAGTCCTGCAGAGCTCAGACAGGGCCCTGACCCTCAGGGCTGCACCCAGGGCCTGAGGAAACCCGAGCCAGGCATTTTTGCATCTGCAGCTCCTCAGCTGAGCACGTTGCAAACATCTGTGCCCAGCCTGCTGTAGTTGTGGCTGTTTCTGGGCGAGTCCCGTGGCACAAACCCTGTGAGAACACCCTGAATGAGACCAGCATCCTGCAGGGCTGCTCTAATAACAGCCCCCAGCAACAGGCTGTGGCAAGAATTTTAAAACATGGGCTGAATTGATTTTCTTTGTGGAAAAGAGGCATCCAAGGCTGTCCAGCTCCCACCAGCACACAGACATCCCTGTGCCATCACCTCCCTGCGTGGTGGATTGTGCTCAACTAAACTGTGGAACAGGTGGGGAAATTAATTCTGTGAGCTGTGCCTTGGCTCAGAGGAGCCAAGAGGTTCTCACACATACCCACAGAGGTTCTGTAGCCAAACTGAACAAGAACAAGCAACAGCTTGTTCTTTCTGCAGTGTCTTAACCACCCTGCCACTCTTCACATCCTCATTCACTGCTTTTTCTGTTTTTCTGAGTTTGGGCCGTGGTTTGCTGAGTTCAAGCTCTGGGAATCACAGAATCATTAAGGCTGGAAAAGACCACCAAAATCCTTAAGGCCAACCTTTCATGGCAAATGTTCCCATGCCCCAAAACCACATTTGGAAGTGCCACCTTTACTTGTTTTCTGAACCCTTCCAGGGATGGTGACTCTGCCACTCCCCTGGGCAGACACTGTGCTTAATGACTTTTTCAGTAAAGAAATTTTTCCCAATATACAGTGGATGTGATAAACATTTGAAAAAAAAAAACAAAAACAAAACAAAAAATTACAATTGGCAACCTCAAAAACAAACCAACTTTTCCAAAAAATTCCTAATACACAGTTACTCCTGGATATTCCCGATTTCCTAATTAATTTTTGCCAACTTTAACCTCTTGAAAGTCTTCCCCAGGTGATGACTGGTTGCTGCTCTTTGCCCCCAGGTGTGCTGTGGCTCTCAGTGGTGTCCGAGGTGTTGTACATCATGCTGTTGGTCGTCGGGTTCAGCCTCATGTGCCTCGAGCTCTTTCATTCAAGCAGTGTCATAGATGGGCTCAAGTTAAATGCCTTTGCTGCTGTCTTCACTGTGCTTTCAGGTATGAACCTCCCCTTCCCCTTTTTACCACCACAAAGCAAAATTTCACAACTTTGAGAGAATAAAAAACCAGAGGCTCCAAGACTCTCTTATCCCCATTTAGCGATTGCAATTTTTCACTGTAATTTTTTGTTCCTTTGGCACAAAGACTGCATGATAAATTCTCCTCTTGCCAGGGAGAAGTGAATATCCTCATTCCTGATTTCACAGCAGCAATGCAGTAATTATCCTTCCCCAGCCCGCACAGCCATTACCACAGCTCCAGCCTCAGCTCCATTTGCAGCATCATCACACTCATTTTCCAGAGGAAAATTAAAAACATGGAACGCTGAAAAGTCTTTTTTCTCTTTTAATCCTGAAAGTAGGTGGTGGCTGGAAAACCAAAGAAAGGAGCTCATGTTGTTAATTAACAAAATGGAGAATGAAAAGGGCTCTAATCCTGGCACTGAGGAGCAGCCCCAGGAGTGGGCTGGGACATGCACATCTCTCAGAACTCTTGGGCTGGTTTCGTGCTCAGGCTGTACCTGGGGCCCCTCACCATATGAACTTGAGGGATTCACTTCTTTAAAATAAGTCCAACCCTGTGGTTAAGTGCCCCTTGACTTCTGTGAAGATTTTCTGGCTAAAACCCCCACTTTCCAGGATTTATACAAGCAGCCAGGGTGCCCATGTGAGCACGCCTGCGTGGACCTCTCTGGCAGAAAGAATTTCTGCAATAGAAGTGCATTTTATCCTGCTGCATTTCAGGCTGAAGGCATTACAAGAGGCAGTGTACATCCTGGGAATGACTTTGTATCTTCAGGGATAGCTGCAAACGGTGAAATAATAACAAGAAAGAAAGGTCAGAAGTAGAGCTGAGTGACAAAATCTGATACGAATTGCCAAAGCATATTTTTCAGCTTTGGATATAATTTGGAACTTAAAAAAAAAAAAAAAATAAGTTCCATTTTCAAAATTAAACTATGTGAATTTCTTCAGCATTCAATCAATTACTTCCATGTTGTTCCTCTCTCCCTTCACCATTAACTGCAGTTTTAAAGTTTTGTAAGAATGATGAAGTTTTCTTTCCTACACAACTTTCTATTTTTATTTTGGCCTTCCCTCTTTCTAAGTACATTGCCAAGATAGTCCAAATATAAACTTCAAAATTTTACTGGGAAAAATGATAGAGGAATTGAAACAAGGATAAAACCCCAAACCCCAGTACACTGCTAGCTGTTATTTTCAATGGCAGGGATATCAGGGGAAAGAAGAAAACTATATTTATTTAAGCTTAGCATATTTATAATGACATAGCTTAATAGAAATTAGGTAATGAAGAGGACTTTCCATTGGAGCATAACACTCCTCATTAAATTCATGCTTGAATTCCCTCATAAAAGGGCAATGAGATCTCCACATTCTCATAGCTCAACATCTAAAGTTTAGGAAAAAATATCCCAACACTGTGGTCACTTATTGCTGTTCCTATGAGCCACAACATCACAATTTTGGTATCTCTCTCAACCTTACACAAACAAAAAAATTTACATATGCCTCTCATGTAATATTTATAATAAAACATTTTAATTAATGTGATATATTCCACAAATGGCATTTCTAGTAAAAAAATACCATTAAATGCTTTAAAATATATTGTCTTTTCTAAATTTCCTTCATCTCCAGCTTTCCAAAGCTCATTAATTTCTCCCATTACTGACACCTCCATGCAGCTCTGGTCCTGCAGGGCTCAGCATCTCAAAGCAGCTGTGGATGATCAGTGTTTCTGCACTGCCAACCACTCCAGCTCACCACATCACCAGGATTTTCCACCTGCAAACACCTCTTGCCCTGGAGCCTGGGTGGGCACAGGCATTGTGCCCTCCCTGCCCAGCCTCAAGCAACTTTTCCCAGCTGGGGGGAAAGATGGTCCTGGGCATGGAGCTTTTGTTGATTTGTGATACAGGCAGCTCATTTTAGCTCATTAAGTGTACAGCAAAAAGGACCAGAGGGTTTCCCCACGGAGAACTTGGCAAGGCACAGCTAAAATAGACCAAACCAAAAGTGAATGAAGCAGCACAACAAATGATTTGCATTATTCTGCTTAGTTTGGATGTGGCATAACAGCAGCAACAGCCCTGCCAGGTGCAGATCCAGCTCCATCCCGCCCTGCCATTAGGCAGACAAAATAAAGAACATTTCCAGTGTTTGCTGGTGACCTCCTCCTCCTCACCTGCACCAGTGAGTGTCACCTCAGCCTCCCACACAGGCACAGGGCTGAAGGTGGCTCACACCCTGAGCAAGGTCTGTGTGACAGAGCCGAGCAGCTCAGCCCTGCTGGGGCTCGTCCTGGCTGTGTCAAACCTCCTGCTGCCTCTGAGTGACTGTGACAGGTCTCAGGGCAGGCTGTAATATTTTATTAGGGGTGAAAAATTACTGACAGGACATATAGAAATAGCAAACTCCAAGCTTAAGATCAAGGCACAACTGTCAGCTGAAGAAAAATCCACTGATTAAAATAAAAAGTTCAGCAAGTTCCCGCTGCATTCTGGAAATTAAATACAACCAGGATAAAAAGCAAGGTGTGCAGCACTTTGCTGTGCTCCCATTAGGCCACCCACCCTGCCCAAATCTCATTCCTCCTGGAGAGAATTGCTCTTTCCACCTCCTATCTTTGCAGTGTGTCACTCCAACACGAGGCAGCTGAGCAAATCACCCCAGCTCACAGTAACACAACGTCTTCCCTCAGCCTCTGCACTTGTCTGTATCAAATCTGACTTTTGTCTTGCTGAAGGTCCTGCTCAACATGCCCACAACACAAACATTCCCCAGCTACCCTCCCCCAGAAGTGCCCTGAATCATCCACATCTCTGGGGAGACTAATGGAGTGGTTTAGGTACTGAGAGTAAGAAGGAAAGAAGAGCCAAAAATTGGGTGTGCTGGGGAAGGGAAATCCAGATCATGGGAGAAGTTAGGTGGTCAGAGAGAAGAGTGAATGAATGGTCAAAGTGTAGCACACAGACCTCACTGCACCAACCATGGCAGAATATTGGTATTTCTAAGTGCCTGGAATTGCCACTGCAGCACAAGAGGCTCCTGCACATCTGTAGGCCCAAGAACTATTTGGGATAGAGTGATCCAGCCCCACCTCCTTAGCCTGAACCTTCACTTTCCAGAGCTGCTTGGGGATCATCACCCTGCCATGGCAGGAACATCCCAAATTACTGTAGCTAGAAAATACTCCAAGCCTCAGAGCTGCTCCTGACCACCACTGCTTGAAAAGTGGGGTTTGGTTTTCCTCAAAGGGCTGTTTAAATATAAAGTTTAGGGGTTTTTTTTCTGTTCAAACTGAAGGAGCACAGTGGCCAGCTAAAGACAGAGCCACTCAGGCCACCCTGTGACTTACTGCAGCCTTGTTCTTTAACTTCACAGAGACTGAAAGGCTGATCCTCACCCAGCTGCAGTTCTCTCAGTGAGCTCCAACAGTGTCACAAAAGCATCACCAGCCCTGCACCACCTAAAATATCCCAATGGGGTCCTCTCACCACACATCATCAGGAGAACCAAGCTCATTCACTTCCTGGTGCAACTTCCAAATGTTTTATGAGTGTTCAAATTCATAAATCCTAGCAAACTCTGGTTGTGTGGCATGAACACACTGAGCTGCACTGCCTGCAGAAGCCTCTCTCCTCCTTCTCTCACCTGGGGCCTGTCTGTGCTGGGCTGTGAGGTGGCTGTGGGTGGCACAGCCCTGGCTGGCAGCAGCAGGGTTGGTGGGGATGCTCCTTGTGCAGCATTTTCTTCAATTATTTTCTTTCTTCAACTCCTCTCTTAATTGAGAATTCAGAATGATGTAAAATAATGAGCTCTCAGTCACATCTTTCCTCTGCCCATGCAGCTCCCTCCTCCACAGTAGAACAGGAGGCATAAAAGTACAACAAAGACTTTTTTGGAGCTCTCAAAGCACTTCCAGCAGTAGCTCCTTCAAGAATGATAAAAAACACGTTTGGCACAAAAATTCCTGTTCTAATCCCTGCTTCCCAGGTCTCTTGGGGATGGTGGCACACATGATGTACACTCAAGTTTTCCAAGTGACAGTCAGCCTTGGGCCAGAGGACTGGCGACCACACTCCTGGGACTATGGATGGTCCTTCTGGTAAGTGTCACCCCACGTTCATCTCTTTCCCCTCTGCAGATGTTCCATCAGCCTGTTGGGATGCTGCACACATCACCTCCAAGTGCCAGGGGTGCCCCTGTGGATCTCCAAACCTGCAGGAGCAGGAGCCCCCAGGGCCGTGCAGGTTTGGAGGTGCAGGGGACAGTTCAGTGCAGCAGCAGCTGTTCTATCAGCAGGTACAGAGCATTTGTAAATAAACAGCACCCACAATTACAACACAGATTGAGCACTCTCATTAAAGTTCAATTTAGGAACATAATTGCCATGGCATTTCTGAGACTTTGAGGTTTTTTTTTTTTCCTTGTTTTTAATTAATGTCTCAGTTGAACCTTACGGTGCAGCTTTGAACACAAGTGCAGAGAAAGGTGCAGTGCTCCTGGCACCATGAGACTTCCCTGTGGATCATGGGGAGAAGGCTTGGGAAAATGGGCATGGCTTTTTTTTTTTTTTTTTTTTTAACCTTTTCCATTTATCTTCTAAAATCACATAAAACTAATTTGGCCAAGACACAGCAAATGTGTTATATTGCTTGCATGTTTATAAGAAGTTTACCAAGAGCAGGAGGCTGTGGAGAATAAAAATACCTGCAAACAGCATCCCCAGTCCTCCAGAGGCATCAGCCTATTTGGATGGATAGGGAAAATACCTTCTTCTTGTAATTTCTAAAAATAGCACATTATTTTCTTTCCATCTCAAAACAAAGACAACAATCTTTGCTAACACCAACAAGTAAATACTTCTTATGCACAGCACTGCAGGGAATTATTTAAGTCTTCTCACCTCTTTCCACTGTGTTTCATAGGAGGAGTTACTACCATTTTAGCAACATGTTGCAAAATACGAATCACATATTTAAAATACAGCTTATTTGGTGTCGCAATAATGAATATTTATTGCATGTGATAATGGACTTATAAATACATTGCATTCACATTTATAATATTTATATTAATATTTATAACAAATCTGTCACAATAATTGTATAATTTTCAATAGATTTAAATAATAAGGTGTATTTGTCTTCAGTAATCTATTTTGTAATTTACCGCAATACTCAGACTTCAAAATGCCGTTAAATGTCTTGCATGATAAACACTCATTAGATTATTCTCCTTCATCTTGTGCAAGCCAAGAGCCCCCATGGCTCAGAGTGGGCACCAGGGTCCCTCAGGGAATCCTGAGAGATCTCCCTGGGCCCACTCATCCCACCCACATTCCCTGCTGGAGCTGTGTCCCCAGAGATGGGGCTGGTATCCCACACATGGGGCTGGTATCCCACAGAGATGGGGCTGGTATCCCACAGAGATGGGGCTGGTGTCCTATGGCAGATGGGTTTGGGATCTGTGTCCCATGGGAGATGGGGCTGGAAGCTGGTGTTCCACAGGAGATGAAGGTGGTATCCCATGAGAGATGGGTTTAGGAGATGTGTCCCATAGGAGATGGATTTGGGAGCTGTGTCTCATGGGAGATGGGTTGGGAGCTGTGTCCCATGGGAGATGAAGTCCAGACCCAGCCCTCTCCCTCAGCTCTCCCTGGGCAGCCACAGCCAGGGAGGGCACAGTGGGCTTTGGTTCAAGCACCAGGACTGGACTGGGTCTCACTGTGGATGACTCAGATACTCACAAGCAGGGAAATATGTGGGAGCAATGTCCCCTCTGCCCGAATTCCTGGGGTGAGACTCAGCTTCACTCCACACAGCCACGCTGAGAGCTGAGCTCCTCTCCAGCCACTGCAGCCACAAAGCTGCTTCTTGCACCCAGCAGTCTCCTTCCCTCCAGCCCTCCCTTCCCTGCTGCTTCCAGGGCAGCCCATTCATCCCTGCAGGATGTGGGGCAGGGTGCAACCAGCGGCTCAGCTGGCACGGGGCTGAGCAGCAGCAGTGTTTGCAGCCTGCAGTGCTGCTCAGCAGCCTGGGGACAGCCGTGGGGCCCCTCATGCCATGCTAGCAGAGCATAGCAGAGCTGGAAAAGGAAGGGAGGGCTGGAGGTCAAAAGGAGCAAAACCAAGGCTTCTGCCTTCCCAGCTAACACTGAGCCAGCACTGTTGTACAGAGCAGAGAACCTCCCCTGGCACCACCCAGACTCAAATGAGTTCTTTCAGAAGAGTTAATTACAAATGCCCACCCAGCCTGGTGGAAAAACACACATGCAGGAATTATTTTCTGCTCCACCTGGGTTCTGATGATGTTCTGATGTTCTGGAACATGAGCTTTGAGAAGCCCTGACCCAGCAGTTGTCACCACCACCCTTAACTCCAGCCTGCTGTAAATGTGCCACTGCAGCCCCCAGCCACAGAGCAGAGCCCAGAGAACTGAAACAGCCCTGGCAAGTGGGGCCAGGGAACACTGTCCCCATGGCCCAGAGCCAAAGGGCCTTGGGGAGCTGGCATTTCCACACTGCCATACCTTTCCTTAGGGCCAGTGGGAAAACTAAGTTTTCTGTGACTCTACTTCCCCTCTATCAAAAGGGAATGATAAAAAACAGCCTCCCCCAAATGAAGAAGGGCTGCTTATGGTCTGCTCAGGTGTCTCAGGGTGGTGTCTGCTGTCCTACCCCATTCCCAAGCCATTGGCAAAGCCTGGAGGTTGTTCTGGGCTCTGGCACGACTCAGGAGTGGGCCAGGGCATTCTCCAGGCCTGGGATTTCAGTGCCTCTGAGGATCAGTGGATGTTCAAGTTCAGACTCTCTAAAGCAAATAAATATAAAAAGCCTGAGCTGTCTGAGCCATGGAGGAACCTGAGAGCCCAGCCCTGAGCTCAGCTGCAGGAGGGTCTATGGGTACAGTCCCAGCACATCTGGGGCGCAGCTGGCATGGAGAATTAACAACATTGCTGTTAAAGAGGCCTTTACCTAAGTGTAACTCCTAAGGTAGGACAACCGCTTTTTACAATTCAAAATAAATAGCATTTAACCAAGGTCCATAAAAACTAAAGTGCACCTATCCTAATTACCTAATTACTATGATTTCACAAATTCCAGGCACTGAGAGTCTTCATTCTGTATTTCCTTCTCTGAACCTTTCAGCACTTCTGATTTCATCAGAAACCATCAGAAACACCCAAGAGAAATTCTCCTTCAAATGCCATTCCCCAGGCACCTCCCAGGCACAGTGAGGCATGTGGTTTTGGCTGGTTTCTTCCTGGATACTGCTTGGGAGCCCAGCTGGAACTGTTTGCAGCTGCTGGAGCTCTTCCCCACACTCCCGTGGGAGGAAGGCTCATGGCAGGCCAGGAAGATGCTGTGCCTGGACACTCACACCAAGCACAAGCTCCCTTCCTGCTTCTCCCCCAGCCATGGGAAACTTCAGGGAACTTTGTCACTCCAGGGTCACTACATTTCCTTCTCATTTGATTGCATCTGGCTAACAGGTTCAAAAATGACAGGGAAAGAGCTGCCTCCACACATCTCATTGCCTCAGGAGTCCCTGCAGGACTTGCTGTAAGCTGAATTTTGAAATCATTGAAATGAGCCATTTCTGTTTACTTGAGCCATTTTTTCCCCAGAATTTGTCAGTCCATGAATATGTGCTCTTTTTCAAGTTTTGTCTAATTTGAAATGAGAAACTGCTTCCTTGTCTGCAGGTCTTTTGCAGAATGGGAAAATAGTTCATGCTGAGAGCTGTGTTGACAATGCGTATTTATAAGATAATGCTACTGGGGCTGGGTACTTTCTGCTCTGCATAATTCAGATCAATTTGTTATAGAAAAAGTGCAAAAAGGAGCAGGTAAAGTGTGCCACCATCACAGATGATGGAGTTAATCCAGCTTATTTAGGCAGCCACTGTGAACTATGTGTAGCCAGAGTTGATGGGCTGAGTGAAGCCAAGGGGAGCTGGAAGGCAGAGAAGCTCTGCAGACAAAAGGAGTAATTCAGGGCCTGTTTTTGCAGCCTCATTTCATGCTCAAAAAGTATCTCAACTCCTTGGTGCCATGAGTCCCTCGCCAGCCCCATCTGAACTTGAGGTCAGGGAGAACAAGAGAAGCTGGGGTAAGCCCTGTCCACAAGCAGGGGACAGAGCAGCTCCCAGCTGACCCTGCTTGCCAGGAGACCCAGGACAGCTCTTGCTGCTGTCCCAGCTTGGCACTGGGCCAGTCTTTTATTGGCTTCCACTTCCCTTCTCCCTCTGCCTCCCTGTGCTCCTGGCTGGTGCTTGCAGGTGTGCTGGCCCCGGCTGGCCAAGGGTGGCTGGCGCTGCTTCACTCTGGGGAGCCAGCCAGGAAAGCCCCCAGGCTGGAATGTTGTCTTCTGGTCTGGTCAGGCTTTCAGAGACCAGACACAAGGCAGGAAGGCCAGAGGTGTCCATGAACCAGGACAGAAGGAAATGCAGTAGTCTGAGGAAGGCATGAACAGCAGATTAGAAACCATCCCTGCAGTGGCTTTGTGCAGCAGTGCCCCAGTATTGTAAATGCAGGTGAACCCAGTGGGAAGAAATGACAATGTCTGACTCAATTCAGAAGGCTGAATTATTTCTTTATTATAACTATGCTAAAATACATTAGTATACTATATAAAAGGAGGATACTAAAACTACATACTACTTTCTCTGACTCTAATTCTAACACAACTCATGACCCTCTCTGTGAGTCCAGCCCCAGGTGGGTTGGATTGACCATCAGGCTCAAACAATCCTCACCAGAATCCAACCAAGCAATCACCCCAGGTAAACAATTCTCCAAACACACTCCACATAGGAAAAACAAGGAGCAGAAATAGAAATTGTTTTCTCTTTAATTCTCTCTGTGCACCTCTATGAAATATCCGGAGAGGGAGAGAAATCTGTTTGCCACATCCCAGGGATGGGAAACTGCTCCAAAAGACTCTCTGGGGCATTGCTCCCTCCAGGAGTGTGTGGGTTTTAGCACTTGTCTGCAAGGCTCTGAGGCATTTCAGAGGCAGATCAGGAGGTGTCTGGCCCTGGTGCACTAAGTGTTCACCCCAGCACAGGGCTCTCCATGGCGTGAAGGCTGTGCCCAGCCCCAGCCCAGCCTCCTGCCTGCCTGAGCACGAGCCACAGGTCTCTGGAGGTAAGATGAGCTTAGATGAGATGGGTTTGTCACTCCAGCTTCCCTGCCTGGTCCCAGCCTGTGTGTGTGTGTCAGAAATATGGCATGAGCTGCTGTGTAACCCAGCTCTGTCTGCTGGTTTCTCTCTCCACAGTCTGGCGTGGGGCTCCTTCACCTGCTGCATGGCTGCCTCCGTCACCACCCTCAACTCTTACACTAAGACTGTCATTGAATTCAGGCACAAGCGCAAAATCTTTGAGCAGGGCTTTCGAGAAGAGCAGAACTTCCTAGACCAGGAAGCCATCAAGTACTTCAGAGAAAGGTCAGTGCAGTCAGTCACTCCATCAGGGGAGGTTTTCATGGACTCTGCTGGTTTCAGAAAGCCCAGGCTCTCACCCACTTCAGAACTCATGGGTGAGACTCTGAGGCACCTGGAAAAGGCGTGTGTGAAAGGCAAACACAAAAGGTCCTCCTTGATTTGGTTTTTCTTAAATTTAGTTCTGCCCTAGTGCTCACCCTTTCTCCTGTGCTCATTAAAATATTTACAATATGCACCCAATTCACAAAAAGCTGATTTTCCCTCCCTAGAAAGGTAAAATTGTGGGGATGCACCAAATGTGAATCCATCCTTCCTCAGCACCTGCAGCAGGCACCTCCCAAAAATCCCAAAGCTGCTGGGGCATTTTCCAGCCACCACCAGGCCACTTTGGAGGTGCCATCTCCCACGTGTGGTCCCATGCCCACAGCCCATCCCTGGCTGCTTTGCACAACCCATCCTCTGGAGCAAATCCACACAAATACAGCAAACATCCACACGGTGCCACCCCCACGGTGGCACCCACCCTGCCACCAGGGTCAGGGGTGGACTGGAGCCCTGGTGGGTCCCAAGACCCAGAGGTGCTCTGTCACTGCCCAGCAGCTGGTCCCTGTGGCTGCTCCAGGACCCTCCTGCCCTCAATCTTTGGTGAGGAAGTTCAGGCTTTGGTTAAAGCTGTGGATTGTGAAGAACAACACAGATCGTGGGCTCACACAGCAGGGATGGGCTCCATAGGGTGATGGATCCTCACAGCATGAAGAGCTGAGAAGTACCAAAAATCCTCACCAAAATCTATGGCCTGAAGTGATATAAAGACATTTTGGGGGCAGGAAATACAAGCAGGATGCACTGCTGTTAGTCAGAGCAGTGGGGCAGTTTCTCCGTGGTGGAAGAGAGTGGTTGGGAAGCTCTGAGAGGACAGAAGGTTTGGAATGAGCAGCATTTCAGCAGCAGAGTGAGGAGCTCTCCTGAGAGGACAGAACCAGAGAGCTTCCATGATCATTGCTTTCCCTTGGTTATCTCATTCATTATTCTGTTGTTGCAGTTATCCCTATGCTAACATCCAAATTTTCACTCTACCTTTTAGACAGTCTGGAAGGAAAAGAGAAATGAGGCAAACAACCATGATTTTCTTAATTTTGCATTTGGGCATGACAGTGAATTTTTAAAAAATCTCTGTGGGAGAAAAGAAAGCCCAGACACAGTGAAGAGGAAGGGGTCAGTGTGTGCCTCAGGGTAAATCAGCACTCAGGGAGGGAAACCAGACAAATTTTTCAAGTGAGAATTGCAGATAAGAGCCCGGGAGAATTATAAGGAACAGTATTGAGTTAGATTGGAAAATGCTAAGGAAACTTGTTGAAACACCACTGGAACAGTAAATAGCAGAATATATTAATGTCCCAGAGGACAGGGACCTCTCTCTCACATGTGCATTGTGGGTTTGGTTTGGGCTCCTCCTGCCCTCACAAATGACACAGTTCCACCCCCAGCCCTTCCACACACACTTGGCACACTCAGCTCAAGCATGTGGTGTTCCCTGACTTCATGATTATGACTTTCTTTTTTTATATCACATTATTTTAATTGTTGTATCTGAATACATAATAGGAAGCCCAGAGACAGTGTTACCATGGGATCATTCTAGAGATTCAAAGCTGTGCAGCAATATACAATTTTTTTTTTAATTTTTAAAGTGATCATATTTATGCTCAGCTTCCCTGGTGTGCCCTGGGTCTGCTCTGGCTGCTCTGACTGCAGGGGTCCAGGGGCTGTCCATTAACAACACCCTGTTGCTGCATGCTGTGGGTGCCCTCAGTCCCACACAACTTCCCTGAGCTCCCATCTGCCTTTGCACAAATAGAAAATAAAATAAATCCTCTTTCCTTCCTGTGCACATACCCAGGGATACTTCACATTCCCTCCTACTCCTCCACCTCCATGTTCCTTTTCATACCTCATGAATAAAACCCTCCAGCCTTTCTTCCTTCCAGTTGCTTTGCAGATATCTTCACCCTTTTTGCCTGTTCCTTTGCCTCAGTGCAGAGCCAGCACCCCCTGGAGCACACACCCAACCTCCGGGTGCACACACCCTGTGCAACAGGCATTTTCCTCTATTCCTCTGAAAATTAAACTTTATCATTATTCCCAACAGCTCCATTTATCACCTGGGACTCAGGGAAGGAAAGTGTCAGCCCCATTTTGCATGATAAAACTTTTTTTGTGGGAATATCATCCTACAGGCCCCTGCTCCCAGGGAAGAAATTTGCTTTATGAAAAGTAGTGGCAGTAAAATGCTGCTTATCTTGCACGTGTTTTCTCAACTCTATCATTGTATTGTGCTTCATTTTAATTGCATGCAACTGCATATAACAGCAGAAGATTTGCTGGAAATGTGGATATTAAAGCTGAAATGGTCCCCTGGGAGCTCCCAGTTCCACAGCTGTGCTGCTCCCCCAGCAGAGCAGGAGGTGCAGGGATGAGCCAAGGTTTGCTGTGCTGGTCCCCCTCCAGCAGCTCCATCCCCTCCCCTGCACAGCACCCGGCCCTGCTGCTCCTTAACTTCAGCCTCTGCTCTGAGAACGTGGGCAAGGCCTTTAACACCACATAATGTCTGTGTGCACCCCAAATTCTGCTCCACAGCCTGGTCTGACCCCACCTGAGCCAGCCCTCAGTCAGCCACAAGGAGCACATCCAATTCCTCTGCCCCCTGTGCCCCCAGCATCTCACTGCTCCTGCCACTGGGAAAACATTGAAGCAGCTGCTGAAAAAGCAAAGATTCATGGTGTTACATCCACTTATGTCCTACCCAGGCCTGGGATTCTTCAAAAAGTCCAGACAAAACAGACTCTGGCTCACACTGTAAAACTGAATATAGAGATACCAGATAAGTGAATATAAAGACACCAGAACTCTTCAGATATAACAGGTACAACAGCCCTCAGGGTAACCCTGAGAAAACCAGGTCAATTATACAGAGGTATTATTCATGCTTTAAGTGTTCTATAAAATTATCAGACTTAACTGCCAAGTCAGCTTTCAGTCTTTGTCCTTCAAGTGTTTTTCCTTCCTTTTTTCTTGTTTTCCTTTGAAATGAATGTTTGTCTATAACTTTTGCTCATCTTTTTCATTTTTTTCAGTTCATTGGGTGTCAGTTCATAACAAGTTTCTCTCTTCCATCCCTGCCAGTTTCTCTTCCTGCTCTGTATCACATGAACACTCTTGTCCCATGTGGTCATGAGCACAGTCTCCCCTCTGTGGTTTACCTCAACCAGCAGAGGAGGAGCCCCCACTGCCCTCCTGCTTCCTTCCTTCCTTCCTGCTCTGAGGACCCCTTTAGGAATTAGCTCTTATATGTTACCTCTTTATCTGTAATAAAATATCGCTTGCTAAGTTCATTTGCAAGAAAAAATTAGCTCAGTGATCTTGAGATTAATTCTTGCAGGTATCCAGGCATTTTACTAGATGTCACTTTAAAATGCAACCTGGCTTTTGCTGTTGGCAGTGCTGTCCTAGCAGAAAAAAGGCATTTTACAGGTAACCATTGGAAAAATCCAACTCTGTACCTTTCAAATAACCAATATGAAATGATTGATACAGAAACAAAAAACTGTGGTTTATCTTAAATATGTGCATTTTTTTCAATTAGTCATTTTCAAGTAATTAATCAGTAATCAATTTCTAAATCCTACAGCCTGTGCTTTATGGACTATTAAGCCAAAGATAAGCCAAAGGAACAGGGATTCTTTTTTCTGTCCCATAAGGTCTGACAATCTCTGTGACAACAGCTGCAGGAATGGTGACAGACCTTCTCTTCCCCTGCCCAGCTGTTTAGTAGCTGCTGTTTGAGCAGCTTTAGCTCTCCCCTGCTGTTTTTGCAGCTTTGCCCCTGTGGCTGTGTAATAATTAAGACACATTCACAAGAATTTTTCTCTTTTAGACCAAGCAGCTCCACCAACACCATCCCCACATCAATCCAGGCAAGGGCCAGCACAGCCAGCTCACCCAGACTCAATGTCTTTCCCAAGTTTGTTCTTAGTTTCTTGCCTTCTCTTTTTTCATATATTAAAAAAAAACCTTTCAGGCACCCTCCCCACCACACCTTTCCCTTCTCCCAGGATTCTGGCGGATTTTGCTCTCAGGTAAAAATGAAAACTTTCCCAAAAGCTTTGGGAATAGAGGTTTGTTGCTTTCCCAGACAGCCTTGCCCAAGAGATAACCAAGCAGCATAAGAACAGGACAGAATTCTCCAGCATTCAAATTAGGATGTGCACATTTCCTATAAATTTGTGTTATCTCAAGAAGCTGTTATCTCCTTTGCTCTGCTGGGGGCAGGGCAGGAGCTGCTGGTGGGGCAGAGGGAAGGACAAGAACAGCTCCAGGGAGGACAAGGGAATGTCCAGGGGTGAGGGCATGTGAGGACTGGAGCCTGAGGTGAGGGATATGGGGCCTGAAAGGGTGGAAATCAAATCCAAGTGAGATCCTCGTGGAGAGCTCGTCACTGCCTCAGGCAAGGAATGAAAATTATCTTTAATTGCACATTAAATTACCCATGGCCTTCTTTTAGTGGGGACAAGAGCAGCTTTTGGACGTGCATCCAGGCTGGTCAGGGGCGCAGAGTCCCACTGGAGCTGAGCCCACGGCACAGAGGGGTCAGGGGGTTATCCCACCCTGGGACCCCCGAGATCACACAGCCCTGGTTCAGGCTGGGATCCAGCCTCGTGCTCCCTGAGAAGCCAATCTCACTCACCAGGGCTGTTAAACCAACATATTTAGCAAGTACATCTGGAAGATTCAGCCTCCCCCGGCTCACCCATCCGTAGCACAGCGTTTGCAGCTGTCCATCAACACCCATTGTGCCACTGCAGCTGATTTCACAACATTTTTCTTGCTGACTGGGCCCTTACTCTGATCTGCAACACCAACCTAAGCAGGCAGATGCTACTGGAGAAATTCTGGAGTGAGCTGAGTTCAAACTGCCATTGATAGCAGTGCAAACAGAATGTCTC